ACCTCGTTGTCCCGTCACGTTGTGAACGTCTTATATATACCAGCTACCCCCAATCTAGTAGTCTCCCGATAATTCATGAAGGTTCGAGAAGGACGTGGCGTGATACTAGTCACGTGACCTCGCTGACGCAACAGTACTAATTGTGCGATTTTAATTTATGTGGTATAAAGCTATGGTGAAATACAATGTATACATATTATTGCATTTTTCGCTTTAAAAACGTATAAGAAATTCCCTTAGGCATCAGTAAGAATTTGCCATCCCCACCCAAATTAGATATCAAATGGCGTTGCGGCTCGAGACAGTAGTCTACTAAAGATAAGAAACTCAGCATTACCTAGCTCGTTAATTTAAAAGATGAGAAAATGGAAATTTAAATGCTATTTAAGTTTATAAAACAAAGTGGAAACTTGCTTTCTGTTCAAGTTGAGGAGCGGAAAATGTATTCACACAGCTGATAGAAAACATGCATTTAACAGAAGAGCCGTAAAGGTTAGCGCTCTCTCTGGATAGTTTTTTAGCAGTATGGTTAAAAGTATTTCCTAAGGGACTTAGCCTGCTGGTTCGTAAGCTTTGGATAAAGAAATTCTCGGTATTTATGAGAGGAAGTAAAAAAGAATGAGTAACAATATTCCAAACACACCCTATCTGATATATCCAGGGCCGATTAGGCCTTTCGCCTAATACCGGTGCTCATCAGACCGGCTAGGATATGACAGGCAGTGGTCGATACGCTACTTTTATTATCAAATTGCATGAACAACAAGAATAAATTGTTGAATTTTATCAATTTTGTATGAGTCTTTTTCAAATCAAAATTAGGTTGTTGATTCCTTAGTGCAAAGCTACACAATGGGATGTCTTCACTCTATCCACTACGGAAAATCAAACCCTGTATTTTAGCATTGCAAACCATAAACTTACCGCTGACACACCGGGGAATAAATTTAGGGTAAGGATTAATAACACAATATTATTTATTTATTTTAACACAGTTATTTATTATCATTTATTTTTTACTTGAATTAACTTTACTCATCAATGTAATCATTCAGAAGAGTGGCGAACTAGTAAGCTAGTCTTAATTTTTCCGGAGTGGGTCAAATAAATAAAGCGTGGAAGTTTAGCTTTAATTTTGAAATAATATTAAGACAAATTTGTTGGAATACAGCCCTCTTGTTTGCTCTTTTACGTGAGAGTGACGATCACGTGATTAGTTTTTTCTGGAAATTTATCCATTGAAAAGCTAGTTTGTGTACGTTACGTATTGTGTTGTAATTGTGAGATTCCCCTCGATTTTTTTTCGAATATATATCATTCGATACGATTTATCAAAGTTTTTGGAAACTTACGATACAAACCGTAGCTAGTACAACTTCATGTCACATTTCGACTCAATCATGAGAGATTTGGATCAAGATCCGTTTCTTAACGCAATGAAGTAAGTTTTGACCTCATATTTGCTTTTGCTAACATGAATTATCGACGTTACTCGTTAGGCTTAACCAAACAAAAGTTATCTTACTCTTAGGCCTAATTTGATACCATCAATTAATTTATACTTTTTTTTTAATTCTAGTTTAAGTTGGCTTATAAGTGACATTACAATGGTTAGGATTACACCATGTTATTGGTAGTTAAAGTTGCAAATTTAATGTTATTCGAACTTTAGTTTTTCATACATACTAACATAGCCTAACAGAAACACTAACATTGTTAGTAAAACTATAGTATGGTATACTATTAATAGTAATAGTAGTATAATAGAGAATTGCACGCAACTCGCGCTTGTAAAATGAAAATAAATATGACTGTTGAGATGAATAATATTTAATAATTTACTTACACAAACGTTCTTGACTGGAATTATGGTCAAAAAATTTTGCTAACACTAACATTGTGAAAAACTATATATTTTAATCATTATTTATATAAGTTCGAATGTCTCTTTATTTCAATGAGTCTGTTCCTTATACACAGCCACATCTTTAAAGTTACAAACTTCAAACCCGGGGTACAGGTACAACTTTGTGCAGGAAGTAACATGGGCTATGTGACCACGGCCTCAGGGCTGCAAGCTGAAGCCAAAGTGACCAATATAGCAAGTTTTGGTAAACAGGATGACCAATTGGTTTCAAATTGAAAAGGCCAGATTTTTTGATAAGGTGTGATCAAACGGGCTGTTGTTTACATTTCTTTTCTATGGGAGGGTTTCTTCTAATCATTATTCATAATCAATTATGTGTTAAAATTATTTAAAAACTTTGTGGAGCCTTCACTGGCTTCTCTGTTCATTCTCTCTTTTTTTCTACATATATATGCCTACTCTCTAACTTCCCTTACCTGAAAAAGGCTGGTGCTTTCTCACGAACATGCATAAGAGAATTCCCTCAACTAAATGAGCTTGCTTCAGCCATATATTTTGCTTTGCTTGCATGTACTTGCAAGAATTGGCTGTATGATGATTTTACAAAATGGTTGGTACTGGCTAATTTTCATTTACATTGTGCTGCAACAAGAAGATAAGTTCTCTATTAAATGGAACAGTGGTCAAAATACGCTGTAAGCGACACTTGACCATACAGCAGAAATCAGGACACCAAGTAGGGAATTTTGTTTTGGAAACTTAATGTCATGCAAAGCACATGCAAGAAGCAGGAGCAATGTACCAGGTTTTGGTTTGATTAAAATAGCTTAAGAAAATTTTTATTGCACATTGTTATTTTTGTTGATTTTAATCTAAATATGTAGTTAGGTAAAGAAATCATTTTGATTTTTTTGCAAAAAAAACACAATTAATATGGTTGATTTAATCAAAACAACTCGGGACACTTAAAGCCATTTTTATCTGAGTGACACCAGGTACTTTGCTAGTAAAATATAGGTAAGAACAGTATATTTAATTAGCTATAACTATTACTAGGTAATTTTTAGCTAGGTAGTTTGTTTTATTAGAGAAATAATAAAAAGTTTAGGCCTTAACTAAAACATAGGTAAACTAAGAATGGGTATTATTTCATTACAACTTACAACTTTTATAGCAAGGAAGAATATTTTTAAAACATGCGATGTTTTGATCACTGGTGTGATCATTCTCAAGTACACAAGTTTCAATGGTAAAGAAGGTTTTAGTATTTAAATCAACATTTAATAATCTAACAATGTGTTTAAGTTTTAGAATTGATAGTGGTTACTTATATATGTGCGTATCAATCCATGTGAATTGACAGATTATAACTGAACAGAAAAAATTAACAAAAGTAAATAAATATGAAAATGTGGAAATGCTGTGTGAAATATTTGCAAAAGATTGGGAATTTCTGGGGAAACAACAATCAAAAACATGCATAAATGTACCTGGGTGTTTGTTAATTGTGGGATTCTTTGATTTTATTAAGGGCTTCTCAGATTTTTCTTCTTTTAATGTCAGGTTCATTTTTTAATGCTGTGACATTTACAAAATAAAGTGTAACAATTGTTCAGCCTTTTACATAGTTGGAACATAACTTGAACATCAGGTTAAAAGAACACCAAAAACCCCATTCCCAAGTCCATGAACAAAACCAACCACAGTTTTTCTGAACAGAATGTCACAGTACTAAAACATAAACCTGACATTAACAGAAGAAAAATCAGGGAAGAACATGGGGAAAAGTGAATGTGACATTAATCCATTTGTCTCTGAAAAGTCATCTATAAGCCAAAAGAGAGGTTACACGGCAAAGAAACATAGTAGCTAAATTATATTACAATAATTGTGTGGTTGGACATGATGGAATGTTAGATACAAAGGTTTTCTGTGTGGAAAAGTATAATATTGTCAAAATGTTATAATTTGTCTTGTTTTTGATTGTTTTGTATAGCTGTGGGATTCCTTAATTTTGTACATTAGTCAATGAAGTTTGAGTTCTATTTGTTTTCACCAGTGAACTGTATCTTCTTCAATTTAGGCCTAATGCTGTTCCCCATTTTTTCATTGTACTATTCTGTTTTTGAAAAAAAAATTCTGTGCCCATATATATAGGATTAATATTGAACTTTTGGTAAATCCTAAACACATGCTTGGTGTGTAATCCATACACAGAAATGATACATATAAACAGTGAAAACATAATAAAAAACAGGAGAATAGCAATAGACCTAAATAAAATGTTAGGCCTAAAGTAAAATAACAACATAATTCACACAAGGAAACAATAGCATTACACAAAAAATCAGTTAATTTGACAAAACTTGAAACTAGGGCTGGGTGATTTAATTTATATAATAAGATACTTATAAGCAGTGATTACCTTGATTAGTGTCACATAATGTAATTAAGTAATTAGAATTATTATTTCAAATTTCCACTGTATTCAGTTATTCTAACAATTGATTAATCAAAATTTGAATTATTGTTCTACTTTTGCAGGTGTACAAGGGAGCTTGTAATGTTTAATTTTTAACAAGCTTATAACAATTGCCCTATGTATAGTTTTAGTATGTTAAGTTTTCTATGTTATTATATCTGTTATATATTTGTATTTTAACATGTCATTCAAAGGGCATGTACAATTCATGTATTTCAGTGTTAACTTTTGTTTTGTAGTGATCTTATTGTTTAAAATATATAGCTTAACTTGTATTTGTATTATTATGGTCATTTAGATTTTAAAAAGATGTTTACTTGGCATGTTTTTTATTTATATTAGACTTATGTTGTCAGAATATTGAGTATCTGGCTAAATTTGTTTGACTTTATAACTCGAAGAGTGTAGGAAAATGTATATTTTGAGAGAACATGTATGCATAACTTGGTTAATAGTTGTCACATGGAATAGTTAATTTAGTAAGACAAACTACAACTGTAATGTACTTTTATGTTTAATTACAATACACAAATATCTCAAATAATCTTTGAGTTGGAATATTATTTGATACTTTAGAAAATGCATTATTATGATGTCTGTGATTATTTTTTTTTATAGTGGACCATTTGAAACAATGAGACAAATGATGGCTCCATTCGGTGGGATGTTTGGTGGAAGTATGTTTCCCCAGCTTATGGGGCCCAACCATAGGCCTAGTCAATATGGGGATAACTCAAGTTTAATGCCTTTTGGCTTTGGCCACTCTCTTTTTCCTAATATGGATCATATGTTTAGAAATTTTGTAAGTATTCATTCTGAAAGTAACTGATTTTTAAAATTAATAAGTAATATTATAGTTATAATTTCTGATGTCTCCTAGAGATAATTTGGTAGTATAATGCCATTTTTTATGGAGTTTTCTCTTAGCTATGAATTGACTATTTGGAATCCATGATAAGTCTATCTTTCTCCATGAAACTCAAAATGTCTAAACTAGATGAAGCAGTAGAAGTCCACAAAAAACTGTCAAACATGTTGAATAGATTGCTTGAATCCGAATTAACATTGATATATGTGTGTATATTTAAGTATAATATATGTGAACTTGAATTTTTATTGAAAATAACTATTTGAGAGTTGATATATTTGTTCACAAATAGTATGAGCTTTGATAATTAATTTTCAAGACCTTAATTTTTTGGATTCTACCAAACAAGTTCATGAGCAAAATGTTTTGGTATATTTGGGTATGAAAAAGGAATTAGGTAACTTGGATCAGTTTTTGTGGAGAAGATTGAATTCTAACTAATTAATTTCTTATTAAATTGCTCACAGTGAATAACAGACCCCTTACCAAAAGCAGCTGAGATTTGATCCCATAATGTCAGTGATGATTAGAAACCTTAGAGTTAAATCTTGCTGTAATATTAAATACAAGGCTAAATATTCTTCCAATTAAGTTTACTAAAACAGCGCTTCTCAACTGGATGAATGGTTCACCCAGGAGTTAATTAGGTCAAAATTAGGGTGAATGAGAATGATGGGATGAAGGGGCATTATCAATTATAGTCTGGTTTGGGGCCCTTTCTAAATGATTGTTTGGAAACAAATTTAAAACATCATTTTACATGCATAGTAAAACACTGTCTTGTCTTCATTCTTAAAACGAACCTTTGACATCTGTTTGTGTTTACTATTACAACACAATGCTGTGACAAAGTTTGCTTCAAAAAGATTAAGTAAAATAGGTCTGTCTAGTAGTTAGTGATAGAGAAACATCTGGTTCTCCTCATATTTCTTCTACTTGTACTCATTCTACTTAGATTTAAACTTCCTCTCATCACATATTTTAAAATATTCATTTTTTCTCACTGTAAGGACCTTTAATATTTTTATCATTTCAATGTTAGGTATGAGCATTTCTTTTGAATATCTTGCAATCTTGTGTTTGATGCTTAATTAATATTAGAAAACACACAATATAATGGTGATAAAAACATGCTTAACTTCAGAATTTTATTTCAGTTATGCTGGAGTTTGCTGTCAAAAGTTTTGCATTAAATTTATTGATAATTCAATAATATTAATTCTCGTATTTTTTTTTTCTTTTAACTGGGGTGAGTGAGCTGTTGTGAAAAATGTACAGGGGTAAATGATATTGGAAAATGTTGAGAAGCACTGTTCTAAAGGTACACAGTTTTCAGATTTTAAAAATTAGGGGCAAATTTTTGGTCATGATAAAGCAGAATTGGGAAAAACTGGGAAGGAGAAGAAAAGCAAAGAAAGTGAAAAAGGGAGAAATAGAAAAACTGGGAAAGAACTATTTTATCAATGTACAACAGAAGCTTGGTATCAACACATACTTTATAGTTCAAAGTTTTATATTATCTAAGTTTTAATTTCTTAATTTCAAAAGGAAATATTTCAATAAATTCTTATTCTTTGTGTCCTTGTGTCATATGACTCGTCAGCTCTCTGAATTCCCCATTTTAGTGTTTCTTTCTACATTTTTATGGGTTTCAGTATCCAACTAACTACAGACTTGTACTATAGATAATGACAACCCAAAAAATAAAATGTGTATGTCTAATCTTCTTGCATTACTGAGATATCACTAAATATTTGACACCTGCTTGACATGTCTTCCTATCTTATCTTTTAAAATGTTTGTACTTCTCAATAACATTGCTACTGAACATGTTTATAACTAATAGAAAGAGTAATTTCTGAACCAATTGAACCTATTGATTGTCTATTTGTTGTGATGTTCAAACCAATAACTTGCAAGTAAATCTTGAAAATGTGTTGAATAAAGTCATTTCTTCTAGATATACTGAAATGTTTGTTAAACCTATCTCTAGCTTAGCTAGAAAGCCAGCTAAATTAGTAGTTTTTGGACATTCTATTCTAGTGCCTGATATATATTGTTATAAAATGCATATTTGAAAGCAACATCAATTATTTTGTGGATAACCAATGTATTGTGAAAATGTAATCAAAGTACGTTCTTGAGTACAAACATTTGTTTGTTAAGGCAAGTCTTAACTTTCGTGTTTCTTATGTGTTTATTTTATTATTATGTATCTTTTAACAAAATTTTGTAAAAGGCAAAAATTGGAAACGTGTTAGGTTAGATAATAAAATGCAATTTAAAAAATTGGGAAACCAGCTGGAGCTAACTGTGTCATGTGATTATCACTTGGGTGGGTTGTTTACACTAAGTTCTGCTGCTGTGGTAAAGTGACTGTCACATTGTTATAGTGTCTAATAGGCATTGTAAAGAAATTAAATTAAAAAGAAGCAGATGTGAAATGTTTACAAACTGAGGCTATGTTAAAATAAAAACTGTAGTTGTCTGTTAAAATCTGCAGTCATTCTAATAAAAAAAAAGTAATTTATTTCATATTTTTTAAAAATCTTTTAACTGTTTTTCAGTACAGTTTTTGCTAGGGTAAAGAAAGTAAGGAATAAAGTTTTACCAAATGAAAAAACTTTTGATATTAATTTTAGTAGGTTTTAGAGGGTATGCAAATGAAATATGAAAACATTAAGATGAAAAGAATTATAATTAACATGAAAATAACCTTTCACTCAGACTGAATTAGTAAAGGTTTTGTATTAAAGCTTGTAATGTTTACTTTTTAAAAGCTTGCCAAATTTTGTGAAGAAACACTTATTACATGTTATAGTATGTGTAGTTTCTTGGTTATATAGTGATAGTAATATTGGGTCCAAATGACCAAGCCTGTATGTAAGGGGTTAAGGGATAATAAAATTTAAAATGTAATATATGTTGTTAATATAATCATTGATTTGTTAGGTGAAATAAATTATGCTAATCATGAATCATGGTAGTGGTTCATAATAGGGATTGCAAATAATTGTACAAAACCGTAATAGAACATTTGCACAAAACGAACCATAAACAGTTAAGATTCAGTCCGAACAACATTTTAAAATCTTTACTATTGACTGCTGAGACTGAACATATAAAAATGCTCAAAAAAAGCATGCATGTTAGACTTACAAGGAAAAGAAAATCTGTTCTTGCCAGCCTACAACAAAAACGGCTTGGTATATTGCACCCAAAACTTTTGTAGAATACTAAATAAGGTACTACAAAGGTCGTAGGGGTTTTGAAAAGTTGATTTGTTTCTTCTATATTTTACATAAGCTACAAAACATCATAATTCTAGTGTAAATGATGTTTTTATTATTCCTTGAAGTTAACTTTCTTAAAAATATCTTTTGTTCCTTTAAAAAGCTTAAGTGCAGGGTCAAACAGGAATTACCAGCCAATAATAGATGAACATTATAGGACTGTAACATTTAGATACTCAATGCTGTGTACACTATATAACTGGTGTGTATAAGGAGCCAACCCCTATATTGTGTATAAAGTGAAGGAGTAAAAAAAAATCAGTACACATAATATTAAATTTCATTACACGCAATTGTAGAATAATTACTTTAAAAGACATAAAGGTTTATTTAAAGCGATGTCTTAGACGTATTTGTTTTACTTGAAAAGGCTGCTTTTATACATATTTAGTGGGGGTTGTGTCTTAGTCTAGGCATATATTTGCCCATTGCTATGCATTATATATTGAAAATTTAGTTACACAAACTATAAATGTTCACTATGTTCTCAAACAAATCTCCATGACAATCTTCAGCTGCAGCTAACATTTTACATCTAAGTAATGCAATTAAGTAGTCAATGGGTACAGTAAATCATTATGAACAATATCAGCTAGCCACTAGCTATGTTTATTCTCATTATAATGTATAAAGTTAGCTACCATATCAAGTAATCTTTTGCCCATAGTTGAGCATAAAAAAAATCCAGCAAACAAGATAAATATAAAAACCTGCAGATAGGGATCATGAAAAAAAAGTAAGGAAACAAAGCTGGAGATACTGTTTACATTATTTATTCAAACTATAAATCCCTATTTTGACTCAACCAAATGTAATTCTAGGTAACAGCATGGAGCCAAAATAGGGGTTTGTAGTTTGAGTAAATAATGTAAACAGTATCTCCAGCTTTGTTTCCTTACTTTTTTTATGGTCCCTGTTTGCAGGTTTATAAATTCCCAATTTTTTATTTATCTTGTGAGCATATGGATTTAATGACTGTGCTTGGTTTTAAATCATATATAAATGGAGCAACTAGAGGTAAACCAATCAATTTCACATTTAAAACATATTTGTAAGACAGAGATTTCTTAAAGAAATAAAGTCAACATTTAATAGTACACAATGAATATGTAAACTGAGATTGTTCACAGCCTTAAAATACAACAAAAAATTGTTTTACTTGATAATTTTACTGTACAAAGATAAAATACAGTGAGACTGGGAATAGTCTCATACACTACATTTTGACATCTCGCTGCATCATCATCATCATGAGTGCAATATTTTGTATGAGTTAAGACTTACATACAATTCAGCTTCAAGAATTTCACACCATCTGTTAACATTTCCTTCTGATCCTTCATCCTCACGAAGCTGGTGTCTATTTCAAAAGACATCCATAGTTGTAGATATAACTTGTTTACTGCTCACCTTGACTGCACCTACAGCCCAGAATGACTGGACATGGGGCTGTACTTTGCAGAGATAGACAATCACATCTCTGTGCTGACCGTAACGAAACATCTTGTGATTTTGCATTCTCTTGAAACTGTCTCTGCTCTAAACAGTAACATAGAAAAATGTAGATAAACATTCAAGTCTATTCATTTGACTTAGTAAACTAGCATATGTTAACTCTGATACAACATCTTTTGTTATGGAGAAAGTAAGAGTTTTATCACTTGATGTTTGCATTATTTTTGTACAGGAACACACAATTATTAATTTATTGAATTTTTAAATCAATGCTAAACTCATTAATAAAGTTAAATCTTCTATAATAGACAAAATGTAAACATGATAAGCCTTGGAAAGTTACAACAATCTTAAGTATAAAGTAATTGGCAAAAACTGTTGTAATTTAACCAGTTATGTAATGTAATACTCCAAACTGTTATATAGCTAGTATTAACTGTTCATAATACAATACTTAACAGGACATAAAATCAGTGGTGGTCAGTAAACAGCAAAGTGGCTCATTATTTCTTTAAACAATTACCAAAAGAATTGAAGTGTAGGCATGAAAGTTTTTAAAAGGTCATGATACTCTGTAAACCTTATAAACACAATCAGTAGCAAGAATATTCTTGAATTTCCCACAGAATTGAATGAATTTTGTGCTTAAAATGCAATAAGAGAAACCATGTTTGCAAAAAAAGAGAGTAGGTTTACAAGCTCTATCCAGAAGTCTTGTAATATATGTTTGTTGATGATACAGCATTAACATTTAACTCTGCTATGATAAAAGAAGTAAGATTTCAAATTAAAAATGACTTGCAAACAGTAGGAAATTAGTTTTATGAAAACAAGTTATCTATTATTATAACTAAGATAAATATATATTTTGAATTAAAATGTTATAAATGAAAATGGTGTTAAGTTGTATATTCATAATACTGGGTGTATAAATGGTGATTACTTTAATAAATATTGTCAAGTTGATAGTGGATGTTACAAAATATTGAGGATTACAAATTGATAAAAAATTAAGCTGGAAACAACATCAGGAGTTGAATTGCAAGACATGATAGTGTCTTATTTGTACATTTTTGAACTAGGTCACGTGACCCATGTTTGGTTTACAATTCGCACATAACGTATAGGATATCATGTTATATTCTTACACCAATATTCATTGGACCTTCATCTCTATTTAATAATTCATTATTTCCAAGGATTCACAAATATTATTGGCTCTAATATCCATTGGTTCAGCCAATACTACATTTTTTTGTTTTTTTTTCTGTTGAGTCAACTTTATAGGGGCCATAGATTGGCTTAATTAAAAATGTTTTTGTGTTCCCATTTTATCATTGTGTGTTATTTATTATTTTAACTTTATACACAAATGCCAAAAAAACAATACTTAGATGTCCAGATGTTAAGAATTCATTATTTTTCATTGATAGTCAATAATTCTGCATGGAATTTTAATAAGGAAAGAAACTTGCCCAATTACACTAAAGCCAATTGTTTCATAACCAAATAATATTATAAAAATGTAAGTCATATAATGATAAAAATTAAACAATTTATAAAAGTATATTTTACTAAAATAATTCTTGTGATATACATATTAATCTATAAAATATTATTTATAAAGAATAAACATTATTACTTAGAATTAAAAATATTCATCCAAATAGAATACAGGAACTAAAATAAATAGTTCCATCAATTAAATAGGAGAATATGAATAAATATTGTAGTTACTTAGCACTAAAAATATTTAATAATGTACCTTTAAAGAAAAAAAAATAAACATTAATGTATTTAATGTGCTGATATAATTTTTGATTAGCTAAAAACATAAGATTTTTTAAGGTAATCCAATGAATTATTAAATCCAGGATCACCTACAAAAGTTGTAATATTGTTAGTTTTAAGTATTAATAATTATAATACTAAATAGTTAATGTTATTAAACCAGTTAAGCTAAAATCTCTTGGGTTATAAGTTGTATTTGTAAGTGAAAAATAGCCAGAACTGGTAAGTAAAGAGATAATAATTTATTTAAATTTCAAAAAGATAATTCTAACTTGTGCGTGATCTACTTGATAAATTATGTTGTAGTAGGGAGAAACGAAAAGAAAGAATTCAATCAGTTAGTCTGGTAAGATTGTAGAAATGTTTGTCTGCAGAAGGGAATTGCTGTATGGGCATTATTTTCATTATGTAACATTGGGTATTGTGTTGGTTTCTTTTCATGTGTAAGGCATACTAATTTTACAGCCATATAGTAGTGTAGTAAAATATAAAATTTGTTGATGTATTTTTACTGCAGGGACAACTGACTCAGGACCCTAACTCTCACTGTTATAGCTCGTCTTCAGTGATGACTTATACAACTGATGAGACTGGTCAACCACAGGTTTATCAGGCTTCCTCATCAACTAGAACGGGCCCTGGAGGGGTAAATATTTTTTGTTGTAAAACTTTCTTAAACAAAGGATTTAGGGTTTTGAGCACTTATGGATAATTTTTATTTCTGGAAGTGGACCATACCAGTTAAATATAGTAAATGATGTTGCTGAAGTGAAAACTCTCCTCTTCACACAGAATAGCTTCTTTTCTCTTCAGAACGCACATTCTGACAGAGAGATTTGCAAGCCACCAGCCTTGTTAAAACTCTCACCTAATCTCATGTAAAACCACTCGCTGCACTTTCCCAAAAAAATTAATATTTATAAAGCAATGAATGTGCTCCATTGTTTGGGGTACTAATGTATAAGTGTCACTAGACAACTGATAGGCTCCGATAATTGGACATAATATTGATGCATATTACCATTAACATTGTTAATTTAAAGCCTAGATCTAACCAAAATTTAATATAGTGAGTTCTGTCATTTGTATGTGGCTCTAATTAAACCAACCTTTTACACATTTGTATTTTCAATCTTAGATTATGCCATTATCATCATATACAATCCAATAAATTTATTATGGAGGGAAAAATAAATGACTTAAGTGTTTTATAATATTTAACAAATATTGTCCAATCAGAAAACCTATTGATATTTAGCCCATTCTGAAGTTGGGACAACCATATTAGCTTCATCAGAAAAGTGTCAAACAAGCCATCAAACTAAGAATGTGTATCTAGAGTTCCATATTCAAATACCACAAATGAAGTTGGAAAGAAGTGAAAAATATAGGATAAGTTTATTACTTAAATGACACTCAAAAGGGTGAAAATAATAATAAAGAAATCAACCAAACAATTACGATATAAGAAATTATATCCCATTATGTAGCTTTGGGATGTCGGGACACAATATTACCACCAAAATCAAACAAGTTTAATAAAGCTGAATGATATCCGTAAGTTAAACTAAAGGTAAAAGTAAAAACAACATCAATAACAATAATCAAACAAGTTTAATAGCTAAATGATATCCATAAATTAAGCTAGTTAAAAGTAAAAACAACAACCACAAAAACTATAAAAGTCATCTGATATGAAACATGGGGTGATGTAGGATGTTTAGTTTGAGTGTACTGCCAACTTGCTATGCATTGAATTTTCCCAAATAAATGAAATTTAGTTTGTTGTACTTTTCAAATTTCAGCATTGTTTTTGACAGGAAAGTGATTGCAGAAATTAAATAATTCCTAATTTTCTGCTCAGATTGTTATGTTTTTAAGGCTGGCATTTCTGTGTCGCATCAGTTAGGATTGAAAACTGGTGTACATCTTCTTCAATTTTTAAAGTTTGTTGAAAGGTTAATAGAACATCAAAAGAATATGTTAGTTTTCTCTTTGGTTACATCTTATCCATTCACTTTTATGATTATGTGCTTTCCAAAATGTCGAGTCTTCCTAGGATGAATAAGTGTTTGTTTTACAGTATACTTCTTGGTACAATATGGCTCATGATCAGCATGTTGGGAGATTTTTCACCCTTATCATGACCGACTCTCAGTTAAAAGTATTATGAACTACAACAATTGCTATGTTATGGTGTGAATGACTTTTAAGCTGATAAAGCATGATTATAATTGAATATGCTGTTTAGAAGTACTCTTTGGTGAAATATGCTGTTTAGAAGTACTCTTTGGTGAAATATGCTGTTTAGAAGTACTCTTTGGTGAAATATGCTGTTTAGAAGTACTCTTTGGTGAAATATGCTGTTTAGAAGTAATCTTTATGAAATATGCTGTTTAGAAGTACTCTTTGGTGAAATATGCTGTTTAGAAGTACTCTTTGGTGAAATATGCTGTTTAGAAGTACTCTTTAGTGAAATATGCTGTTTAGAAGTACTCTTTGGTGAAATATGCTGTTTAGAAGTACTTTTTAGTAATAGTGATAATTTTTAGAAATGTGTGTGTGTTAAACAAATAATTATTTTTACCCAGGTAAAAGAAACGCGAAAGACTTTACAGGATTCTAGGTCAGGGATGCAGAAAATGTCAATTGGTCACCATCTTGGGGAAAGAGGTCATGTCATGGAACGTGTAAAGAACAGGACTACTGGGGAAGAGGAAGAGAATGAAGAGTTGTTGAACCTTGATGAAGGCATGTATACATATAATATCACTCTTATAAAATAAGATATATTATCTTTATTAAGGCATATATGCATATGCAATATCACACTTACAAAATAAGATATACTATCTTTATTAAGGCATGTATGCATATGTAATCTCACGGTTACAAAATAAGATATATTATCTTTATTAAGGCATGTATGCATATGCAATATCACACTTACAAAATAAGATATACTATCTTTATTAAGGCATGTATGCATATGTAATCTCACGGTTACAAAATAAGATACATTATCTTTATTAAGGCATGTATGCATATGTAATATCGCTGTTACAAAATAAGATACATTATCTTTATTAAGGCATGTATGCATATGTAATCTCACTGTTACAAAATAAGATGTATTACTCTTATTAAGGCATGTATGCATATGTAATATCACTTACAAAATAAGATGTATTACTCTTATTAAGGCATGTATGCATATGTAATATCACTTACAAAATAAGATGTATTACTCTTATTAAGGCATGTATGCATATGTAATATCACTTACAAAATAAGA